CCGAGGGAGACTGTTACTTGTGTGTGCCGCCTGACCCAGGTATAGAGCCCGCTGCCCTGGGTACTAGTGAGTCTGCTCTCTCTGGTATGGTGCCCCCTGTACTTGCTCCCTCCAGTGCTGTCCCGGCTGGTTTCGAGTCTGCTCTCTCAGGTACAGCACCCACAGAGACTGCTCTCTCAGGTACCGCACCGGCTGAGGCCTGTCACACCTTCACCCTTGACTCAGGTGCTTCCCGTTGCTTCTTTCGTGACAGTACTGAGCTCACACCGCTTCCTGCACCGGTCCCAGTCTCCTTGGCTGACCCCTCTGGGGGCCCAGTCCTTGCCCAGTCCACCACTGTCCTCCCTTGTCCGGCGGTTCCGTCTGGCTCGTTGTCGGGTTTCCACCTCCCCTCGTTCTCGACGAACCTGGTGAGCAACGCTGTCCTCCAGGATCAGTGGGTTGACACCTTTACCCCTGGAGGACAGCGTGTGGCGATCTGCACGTGCTCCAAGACCGGCCGTCACCTGGCTACGTTTACCCGTCGGCCGGGGTCGAGTCTCTACACACTGACCACTGCGTCTCCTCAGGTCGCTGCTGTCGGTCAGGTGTCTGCGTCAGGTCTGGTAGCCCACGCCTGTGAGTGTCGTTCCCTGTCGCACCAGACTCTTCTCTGGCACCACCGCCTGGGTCACCCCTCCTTGCCACGCCTTCGTGGCATGCACCGTCGCCACCTTGTGTCTGGTCTTCCCAGGTCCCTCCCTCCCCTCCCTGCCTCGCCTGCGCCGCCTTGCCTTCCTTGCGTCGAGGGGCGGCAGCGCGCCGCTCCTCACTCCTCCTCGTTCCCCCCGACAGAGGCTCCTCTGCAGACCCTCCACCTGGACGTGTGGGGCCCAGCCCGCGTTCGTGGTCAGGGCGGTGAGCGGTACTTTTTGCTGGTTGTCGACGACTACTCGCGTTACACCACGGTCTTCCCCTTGCGCACCAAGGGTGAGGTCCCTGCTGTTCTGATCCCTTGGATCCGCACAGTTCGTCTCCAGCTCCGCCGCCGTTTCCGGACGGATCTTCCTGTCCTGCGTCTGCACTCTGACAGAGGTGGTGAGTTCTCCTCCGACCTCTTGAGGACCTTCTGTCAGGCGGAGGGCATCGAGCAGACCTTCACGCTTCCGGACTCCCCACAGCAGAATGGGGTTGCTGAGCGCCGCATTGGCCTGGTCATGGAGGTCGCTCGTACCTCCTTGGTCCACGCGGCGGCTCCCCATTTTCTGTGGCCGTTTGCTGTCCGGTACGCCGCGCATCAGCTCAACCTCTGGCCCCGTGTCTCCTTGCCGGAGACCTCGCCCACACTGCGTTGGACGGGGGAGGTTGGCGATGCGTCGCGCTTCCGGGTGTGGGGTGCTCGTGCCCTTGTCCGCGATACGTCCGCGGACAAGCTCTCCTCCCGCACGCTTCCCTGTGTCTTCCTTGGCTTTGTCCCTGACGCGCCTGGCTGGCAGTTTTACCACCCCACCTCGCGCCGGGTCTTCGCCTCTCAGGATGTCACCTTTGACGAGTCGGTCCCTTTTTACCGTCTCTTCCCCTACCGCACTGCCCCCCTCCCTCCCCCGCCGCTTTTCCTTGCTCCTGGTCCCCCTCCGGTAGACCCCCTTCCCCCTCAGGGTCCTGCTCCTTCAGGTGTCTCTCAGGTAGACCCTCCTCCCGTCGCTGAGCCTGTCGAGGTCACAGGTGACTCAGGTGCTGCTGCGGGTGGTGCTGCTGGGAGTGCTGAGCCTGGGGGTGCTGAGCCTGGGGGTGCTGGGCCTGGGGGTGCTGGGGCTGCAGGTGCTGGGACTGAGGGTGCTGGAGCTGAGGGTACTGTGCCTGAGAGTTTGCCGCCTGGGGGTGCTGAGCCTGGGGGTGCTACGACTGGGGGTGCTGAGCCTGCGGGTACTGAGCCTGCGGGTACTGAGCCTGGGGGTGCTGCTACTGAGCCTACGGAGCCTCGGGTTACTGCGTCTGGGGGTGCTCCGGTTCGGGGTGCTGAGCAGTCTCTCACACCGCAGCAGCTTCGTGACTGGTACGTCCGACGCTTTCGCCGTCCCAGTGGCTCGGCTGGAGTTGGGGGTGCTGGAGCTGCTCGTCCTGGGGGTGCTCGTACTGGGGGTACTGGAGCTGCCGGGACTGGCTGTTCTGGGAGCACTGCGACTGGAGCTGCTGGAGCTGGGGACTCTGGCGCTGGCGGTACTAGCGGAGTTGGAGCTGCTGACTCTGGGGGTGGCGCTGCTGCTGGTGCTGCGGACCCACCTGGTGGAGCTGCTGCTGGTGCTGAGGAGTCGGACGGTGGAGCTGCTGCTGGAGCTGGGGACCCGGCCGGTGGAGCTGCTGCTGGTGCTGAGGACCCGGCCGCTGGAGTCCCTTCTGCTTCTCGAGACGCTGCGCGGCCGCGACCGTACTTCGTACCGCTCCTTCAGCAGGTTCTTGGGCAGGCTCCTCCTCCTTGTCCTCCTCCCTCCGTAGAGTGTCCTCCGCCTGTCCAGCCGCAGTCACAGTTACCGCCTGCCTCGCCTCTCCCTGCTCCCTCTCCTTATACTGGTCCCACAGGAGGTCTTACAGAGCGTCGTGAGCCTGAGTCTCGTCCTGCGTCGCCTGTTCGTCCTGCTCGCACTGCTAGTCGTGTCCGTCGTGAGCGTCCTCCTCCTGTCCCAGGCACTCACTACATGACTCTGCGTCCCTCTACTGCTCCTCGGCGTGTCCCTCTACCGTCTCCTCCTGCGTCCTCTTTGCCTGCCGTTCCGGACCCTGAGTCTGACCGGTATCGCGCTGAGCACCCTACAGTCACGCGTCTCCTTGCTACTGTTGTCACTGACCCCACCTTTGAGTCCTCGGCTGCGTCTGCTCTGGTCGCTGAGTTGGTTGACTTTGCTGCTGCCTGTCGTCTAGACTACGCTGCTAGCCTTGTCGCTGAGTCAGAGTCTGCGTCAGTCTGTCCTCCGTCCGTCGGGGGTGAGTGTGCTCTTGGCACGGACGTCCTTGAGGACAGGCAGGAGGACTTTGACTCACTTGCGGCTGCTGTACCTCATCTCGTGGCCTGGTTGCTTGCCCCTGAGGGAGACCCGGATGCAGTAGACATCCCCACTCCGCGCACTTACGCAGAGGCGATCTCGGGTCCCTACTCCTCTCAGTGGCAGACAGCCATGGACGCAGAGATGGCATCCTGGAAGTCCACAGGCACCTACGTCGACGAGGTTCCCCCTCCTGGGGCGAACATCGTCGATGGCATGTGGATTTTCAGGGTGAAGCGGCCGCCAGGTTCTCCGCCTGTCTTCAAGGCTCGTTACGTTGCTAGAGGCTTCAGTCAGCGTCAGGGGGTCGACTTCTTCCAGACCTTCTCCCCCACCCCGAAGATGACCACTCTTCGGGTTCTGCTGCACGTTGCTGCTCAGCGTGACTACGAGCTTCACTCTCTTGACTTCAGCACAGCGTTCCTGCAGGGCAGCCTGCACGAGGAGATCTGGCTGCGCCGCCCACCTGGCTTTACTGGGTCGTTTCCCCCTGGTACCCAGTGGAGTCTCCGCCGGCCAGTCTACGGTCTCCGCCAGGCGCCACGTGAGTGGCACGACACACTGAGGACTACTCTTGCGGCTCTTGGGTTCGCGCCGTCTACTGCTGACCCGTCGCTGTTTCTGCGCACAGACACGTCGCTGCCGCCGTTCTACATTCTCGTGTACGTCGACGACTTGGTCTTTGCTACTGCTGACACTGAGGCACTCGCTCGTGTGAAGTCGGAGCTGCAGAAGAGACACACCTGCACTGACCTGGGTGAGCTGCGTAGCTACCTTGGCTTGCAGATCACCCGGGACAGAGCTCGCCGCACCATCACCCTGACTCAGTCACACATGGTGCAGCAGGTCCTTCAGCGCTTCGGCTTCCAGTTCTCCTCACCACAGGCCACACCTCTGGCTACCAGCCACTCGCTCTCAGCTCCACCTTCGGACGAGTCCGTAGAGCCGAGTGGCCCGTACCCAGAGCTTGTAGGCTGCCTCATGTACCTGATGACTTGCACGCGACCTGACCTCGCGTACCCTCTTAGCATCCTTGCTCGTTACGTTGCGCCTGGGAGACACAGGCGAGAGCACTGGGAGGCTGCTAAGAGGGTGCTGCGTTACCTGTGCAGTACATCAGGCATGGGGCTGGTGCTTGGAGGACGCGACAGAGTTGTCCTCACTGGTCACTCGGACGCCTCTTGGGTGGACGACCTGGCTACGCAGCGGTCGTCACAGGGTTACACCTTCAGCCTTGGCTCAGGTTCTGTCTCGTGGCGGTCCACCCGCTCTTCCTCTGTTCTCAGCTCTAGTTGTGAGGCTGAGATCTACGCCACAGCCATGGCTGCACAGGAGTTACGCTGGCTCACCTACCTGCTGACTGACTTGGGAGAGCGGCCTAGTTCTCCTCCAGTTCTGTACGGTGACAACAAGGCGGCTCTTGCCTTGTGTCAGGAGCACAGACTGGAGCACAGGACGAAGCACATTGCTCTTCGCTACTTTCTTGCTCGAGAGCTTCAGCAGCGCGGTCAGCTTCGGCTTGTGTACGTGGACTCGAAGGCCAACACTGCTGATATCTTCACCAAGGCGCTCCCGCCTAGTGATCATCAGCGGCACTGTTCTTCTTTAGGCCTTGTGTCCACGTTTCCTCACTTGCTCACTGCTTGACATTCTTTGTACTGTACTTTATATATATCTTGTTGCTTGCTTGCTAGGTTTTGATCACTGTGTTGCTTGTCTTGTACTATATCTAGCACTGCATGTGAACTGGCCTTGTGGCCTTTACTTGTGCTCGGAGTGTGGTGACGTTGTGATCCACCCTGGGCTTTGTTTTGCTTTGCTGGACTGGTCTTGTGACCCTTTGTTCTCCCCACTTTGCCTATGGGGGTGTGTTAAACTGTATTATGCTTGTAGGCTGTAGTGGGGTAGCCAATATGGGGTACAACCCCAACTAGGGTTTCATATTTGTACCCAAACTCCTGTTAGTTCATCCATTCTTGCCTAGTAATTCTGATACCCAGAACAACCAGTCCCGGCAGCTCCAGTACCCCCAGTACGAGCACCCCCAGGACGAGCAGCTCCAGCACCCCCAACTCCAGCCGAGCCACTAGGACGGCGAAAATGCCGGACGTACCAGTCACGAAGCTGCTGCGGTGTGAGAGACTGCTCAGCACCCCGAACCGGAGCACCCCCAGACGCAGCAACCCGAGGCTCCGTAGGCTCAGTAGCAGCACCCCCAGGCTCAGCACCCCCAGACTCAGCACCCCCAGACTCCGCACACGCAGGCTCAGCACCCCCAGTCGCAGCACCCCCAGGCTCAGCACCCCCAGCTCCAGCACCCGCAGTCCCAGCACTCCCAGGCCCAGCACCCGCAGGCTCAGCACCCCCAGGCTCAGCACTCCCAGCAGTACCACCTGCAGCAGCACCTGAGTCACCTGTGACCTCGACAGGCTCAGCGACGGGAGGAGGGTCTACCTGAGAGACACCTGAAGGAGCAGGACCCTGAGGGGGAAGGGGGTCTACCGGAGGGGGACCAGGAGCAAGGAAAAGCGGCGGGGGAGGGAGGGGGGCAGTGCGGTAGGGGAAGAGACGGTAAAAAGGGACCGACTCGTCAAAGGTGACGTCCGGGACAAAGCCAAGGAAGACACAGGGAAGCGTGCGGGAGGAGAGCTTGTCCGCGGACGTATCGCGGACAAGGGCACGAGCACCCCACACCCGGAAGCGCGACGCATCGCCAACCTCCCCCGTCCAACGCAGTGTGGGCGAGGTCTCCGGCAAGGAGACACGGGGCCAGAGGTTGAGCTGATGCACGGCGTACCGGACAGCAAACGGCCACAGAAAATGGGGAGCCGCCGCGTGGACCAAGGAGGTACGAGCGACCTCCATGACCAGGCCAATGCGGCGCTCAGCAACCCCATTCTGCTGTGGGGAGTCCGGAAGCGTGAAGGTCTGCTCGATGCCCTCCGCCTGACAGAAGGTCCTCAAGAGATCGGAGGAAAACTCACCACCTCTGTCAGAGTGCAGACGCAGGACAGGAAGATCCGTCCGGAAACGGCGGCGGAGCTGGAGACGAACTGTGCGGATCCAAGGGATCAGAACAGCAGGGACCTCACCCTTGGTGCGCAAGGGGAAGACCGTGGTGTAACGCGAGTAGTCGTCGACAACCAGCAAAAAGTACCGCTCACCGCCCTGACCACGAACGCGGGCTGGGCCCCACACGTCCAGGTGGAGGGTCTGCAGAGGAGCCTCTGTCGGGGGGAACGAGGAGGAGTGAGGAGCGGCGCGCTGCCGCCCCTCGACGCAAGGAAGGCAAGGCGGCGCAGGCGAGGCAGGGAGGGGAGGGAGGGACCTGGGAAGACCAGACACAAGGTGGCGACGGTGCATGCCACGAAGGCGTGGCAAGGAGGGGTGACCCAGGCGGTGGTGCCAGAGAAGAGTCTGGTGCGACAGGGAACGACACTCACAGGCGTGGGCTACCAGACCTGACGCAGACACCTGACCGACAGCAGCGACCTGAGGAGACGCAGTGGTCAGTGTGTAGAGACTCGACCCCGGCCGACGGGTAAACGTAGCCAGGTGACGGCCGGTCCTAGAGCACGTGCAGATCGCCACACGCTGTCCTCCAGGGGTAAAGGTGTCAACCCACTGATCCTGGATGACAGCGTTGCTCACCAGGTTCGTCGAGAACGAGGGGAGGTGGAAACCCGACAACGAGCCAGACGGAACCGCCGGACAAGGGAGTACAGTGGTGGACTGGGCAAGGACTGGGCCCCCAGAGGGGTCAGCCAAGGAGACTGGGACCGGTGCAGGAAGCGGTGTGAGCTCAGTACTGTCACGAAAGAAACAACGGGAAGCACCTGAGTCAAGAGTGAAGGTGTGACAGGCCTCAGCCGGTGCGGTACCTGAGAGAGCAGTCTCTGTGGGTGCTGTACCTGAGAGAGCAGACTCGCAAGCAGCAGGGACAGTGCTGGAGGGAGCAGGTACAGGGGGCACCATACCAGAGAGAGCAGACTCACTAGGACCTAGGGCAGTGGGCCCTATACCTGAGTCAGGCGGCACACAGAAGTAACAGTCTCCCTCGGCACTAACAGTCAATGCATACATGGCAGCAATAATAGCATCATAGTCAAGAGCAAAGATATCAACACCAGCCCTCATCAGCTCAGCCCAGCGAGGGCGCTCAACATCCTCGCCCATCTCCTCACGCCAAGCGTCGTCAAGGCGGAAGAAGCAGCGGTACTGAGTGTGGAACTTTCCACACGTCTGCCCCTTGCGATCACCTGTGCGAATGACATAGGAACAGCGGCCACTGCCCCCCGACGTCCCACGCTGAGCAAGCCACTCACGAAGCTGCTGGGTCGACTGGGGACGCTGCTGCTGCTGGGAGCTCTGGCCCGAGCCGGTGCCTCCACTCCGACCTCCACCGCCGCCACTACCTCCGCTCCGACCGCCACCACCGCCACCGCCACCGCCACTACCGCCACCGCCGCCACTGCCGCCGCTGCCACCACCGCCACTGCTCCCGCCGCCGCCCCCGCCTCCGCCGCCGGCCCCACTCCCACCGGCACTCCCGCCACCGCTCCCTCCAGCACCGCCTCCCCCCCCACCTCCCCCACCCCCTCCCCCCCCAGCGCCACCCCCGCCACCCTTGCCCCCCTTGCCCTTGCCGGTGCGGCGCCTCCCACCAGGAGCAGAAGCAGCGCCAGCAGACTCAGCACCAAGGAAGTCAACAGCAGCAGCAGTAGCATAGGAGGGAGCGAGGGGAGAGGGAGAGCACCCCTCAAAGATGGGGGTGCGAGGAGCGCCGCGAGCAGCACCTACAGCTACAATGCTCTTCTCGGCTGCTAGCAGCTTCTCCTCTAGGAGGGCGACAGTGAGCTCAGTGGGACAGCGAGCAAGGAAATAGTCGCGCACTGAGCTGAGGGTGTCAGGGAGACGGGTGACTATGAAGTGGAGTGCCCAGTACAGGGGAGGGGGGTTCTTAGCGCAGAACTCGGTGGGAAGGGCGGCACGCAGGCGAGCATCACTAGTGCGAAGGTGGGTGATAAGATCGGCGACTGTAGCAAAGGTGGACAGGTCAGGGAACAGGTAAGGCAGCATGAGACGGCTAAGCTCGGCTGTGGCAGGTGAGGAGTAGCGAGCAACGACAGCGTCGTATAGGGCTTTAGCGGTTTTGCAGTCGCCAAAGTGCTCTAGCTCAGCGAACGGCAGGTGACTGCGAATAGCCAGGCGAGCTGCAGCGTCACGAGTCTGCCACTGGGAACGTACACTAAGCTCGGCTGTGGCAGCAGGAGCAGCGGCAGCACCAGACGCGTAGTCATAGAGGGAGATGTGGTCCGTGCTATTGCTCATAAGATACAACTGCAGGTCGTCGAGCCAGGAAGTGAACTGCACGGGACGGCCCTCAGCATCGAAGGAAAGAACGCGAATAGAGGCCATAGCTCAGGCGTGAGGGCACAGCAGAGCAGCGGCAGCAGCAGAGGGGACGCGCTAGAGCAAAGCTAGCAGCCACAGCAGGAGCAAGCGGCGGTGCACAGGCAGGGAGCAGCAGGCGAGGCGGGCGGCGCTGCAGGCGGGAAGTGCGGCGGGCGGGCGACGTTGCAAGCTTGCAGCGGGCGGGCGGGCGACGCTGCGAGCGGGCAGCGAGGCGGAAGGGCGACGCTGCGAGCGGGCAGCGGGCGGGCGGGCGACGCTGCGAGCGGGCAGCGAGCGAGCGGGCGACGCTGCGAAGCGGGCAGCGGGCGGGCGGGCGACGCTGCAAGCGGGCAGCGGGCGGGCGGGCGACGCTGCGAGCGGGCAGCGAGCGAGCGGGCCGCGAAGCGGGCGGGCCGCGAAGCGGGCAGCGAGCGGGCGGGCGGGCCGCGAAGCGGGCGGGCCGCGAAGCGGGCAGCGAGCGGGCGGGCGGGCTGCGAAGCGGGCAGCGGGGCGAGCGGGCTGCGAAGCGGGCAGCGGGGCGAGCGGGCGACGCTGCGAGCAGGCAGCGCGGCGGGCGGGCGGCGAGCGGGCGGCTCGGCGGGCGGGCGACGCTGCGAGGGGCGCGCGAGGGCGCTAACGAGGGGCGCTTCGAGGGCGCTAGCGAGGGGCGCGCGAGGGCGCTAACGAGGGGCGCTTCGAGGGCGCTAGCGAGGGCGCGCGAGGGCGCTAACGAGGGGCGCGCGAGGGCGCTAACGAGGGCGCGCGAGGGCGCTAACGAGGGCGCGCGAGGGCGCTAACGAGGACGCACGAGGGCGCTACGAGGCTAGGGCACGGGGTAGCGTGGTAACCGCATGCGAGCGGTGGTGGGCCCTTAAAAAAAAAACGGTCGGTAGGTCCTAGGGACCTCCTGCTCTGATACCATGTCAGAATCCCAACCACTAACCACTGGGATAAAAGGGCTTGTTTGTGTAGCGGGTGAGTGCGCCCATAACCCCCCAGGCCAACGTGCCTGTAGCCCTTCCCTAGGATCAATCGGGGATCACCAGTGGACCTCTGACACCCCCCCGCACTGGGATGCTCGAGGTGCACACACCGGGATTCGAACCCGAGACCTTCGCTCTGATACCATCTCAGAATAACTAGGCAAGAATGAATGAACTAGCAGAAGTTTGGGTACAAATATGAAACCCTAGTTGGGGTTGTACCCCATATTGGCTACCCCACTACAGCCTACCAACATATAACACAATACAATTTAACACACGTAACTGGATCATGTCGAACTAACGAACAAATAGTATCAAAATCCAACGGTATGCTGATGTCAGTACGTATTTTAGCAGGGTTTCTTCGTAGATCATTAACTCTTATAAGTATTGCGTGGAGGTCTGTCCATTTGGTATCGGCCATCGACAATGTAAAATAAAACGTGGGTCTTCCTAACTGACGTATCATCGCAAAAAGATCCCGTTTACACTTGTCTCTATATTGTTGAGTGGTACGTATTGTTCTAAAATCGTTGTAAAGTGCATCATTTTGCTGCAGACTTGCTCGCTTTGTTTCATTTAACATGTCTGCTGCCGTAAATGACTGCATGTTCTCAATCTTTTCTTGTCTAACCCTTGTCGCAATAACGTTCTGCACTTGAAGTATCTCTTTTTTGTATAGTTTGAAGAAAATATTCGGAACATTAGTAGAGCATCGCCCGTTGGCATGTTTCAGCTCCCATTTCACAATATCCGAATATGAGACGTTCAAGTTACGCGCTCCACCAAATCGCCGTTGACCGCAATAGATTGATGGAAAGCTTAGCTCCTCGACGTCCTTATCAAGGACAATGGATAACGGTCTTGCATGCTCGCCAGGTGCCATTTGCACTATGCATTGCGAAGGCTGCTGAAAAAAATGCTCTTGAGTTAAGAGAGTATCAAGCACACCGACGTTATGATGATCAGAATCTTCACTTTTATCCGAGGACGACGACCCCGGTTTCAATCTCCTCTCGTCGTTGTCTCCACTGTCTTCTAAAGATACCTCACGGGTATTGCACTCTAATGATCGCATCTTCATGTTGTCGAGATGGATGCCATATTCTTTGAAGAGATCTTGATTGCAAAGAAACTCTACCGCTTTTAAGTTTTTTGTTGGGCGTACATTATCTTCGAAAGCATTGTTCTTATAAACAAGCTTACGTTTTAACCGTACCGTAATGGTATGAGTATCATCTGGTAATCTTGGAAGAGCTTGGACCATCTTATCTACCTCGACGGGAATATTTATTACTCCGCCTTGAATACCAAACTGTTTGCCAACGGACAAGGAATGGATCTTCATGAACGGTATACGAGGACTTACCAATCGTTCCTCCAATACCGTTATATCTTGAATAGCAGCTGGTCTTGTCGGAAACCCGTATCGATTGAGGTTCGAGAATGGAGATACGTTTCCATCGGTTTCATATTTAGCGCAGTGTCGACATATTCTTTTCGATGGTTTACCTGTCCCCTTTTGTACCATGTTACGTTCAAAATTGAAAGTACCACACGCTGTACATTCTACGTCGGGCCCACACTTGCAATCCTTCTGAAACTCAACCATGGACTTACTCATTTTCTGCTTAGAAGGTGATCGAATGATTGTTACGTTCTTGAATTTTAAATCGAGATCATTGTTTGAAATTGGAATTCCAGTGTTCACATCAAATCCAAAATATACGTCGAACTCGTAACCTTGTATATTTTGGATTTTTTTGTGAATAAAATACGCTCTTGCAAATGCTGCATCTGCAGCATGTTGAAAACCGGAAAATGAAAACGGTTTCTTGTTGTACTTGACAATAAATTTGAAACCATGTGTGAGAGCTCTCACACCTATAAAGCGTTTGTTGGGTTCGTCTCGTGCCTGTGCGTACTTACGACATATGCAAAAAAACGTATTTGAAGCCTGATGTACTTTTTGACGACGCTTTTTTGAACAAGTTTGTACTACTCCATCGTTTGACTTAGCGGTTTTGTTTGAAATATGGGAAAATCTATCATTCATAGTAGCGGTTCTAACACTGTCCACAGACTCACAATCCATCGTTGATAAAGCATCCCCCGCAGTTGTCAGTAAGCTTGTAGAATGATTTTCTGAACTCAAATGAGGGACACGAATATGGACCGGTTCTGTATCATTGCCAGTATGTTGCATGCTCTCGTACCTGGTGCCGTACACAGTGCCTTCCGGATCGGGAACGAGTAAAGAGTAGTGTTCGCGAACGCAATCAAAATGTAAATGCATAACACGATTCCCAGACGTACCTTGCGGTGCACGAAAACAAACAATGAGCTGTCTTGTATCCAGCCAAATGATTGCCGTTATGTTATAAACGACAGAGAATGCTCTCACCTCATTGCACGATCCATAAGCTCCATCCTGTGATAGATAAGAAAAATACTCGCTAGCAGATTCGAACACCTTTTCATGCGCCATACTAGCTTCTACAGGATACCTGTATGTAGTATTATCCCAGTTGTCGACAACATGTCGCAACAGCTCGCGTTTTACATCTGTATATCTGTCTTGCGTATCGTATAATGACATTGACAGACTTCGAAATAAGCAATTACCATCTCCGATGATAGGTTTCAACGTTAAAGAATATTACTTGCGAAACTCACCATCGGTCCTCTCGCCTGTAAAGATCAGGGCCGTGCTCGAAGATGATGCCATCACAATGTTCCTCTCGACTCCCCTCACCGCAACGAACAGCCGAGCTCCTAAAAGGGGAAAAAAAAAAGGCGGACACACCCACAATGGACACCGGTATAAAAGCATTTTCACGTGAATGTCGTCAACTCAGATGTATGGCAAGGACAATGGGGGAAAACGACCAAGCAAAAATGACACTAAGAGGAACGGCAAACAGTGGGTGAATTATCAGGATATGAATAGGATGCATGGGCAATCGATCATGTTTCCGTTTCTATAACACAACTAAATTGCCCCAAAACATTTATGGTGCTATGGAAGGTGAAACTATGCATGTGATGGGGGAACTTTCCCCCATGCAGGAACTTTCCTGATGAAGAGTGGCAAGGACAATGGGGGAAAAAGACGAAGACAAAATGACGAAAACGGAGACGACAAAGATGGCGTGAACTTTCAGGATAGCAATAGGATGCAAGGGAAATAGATGCTGTTTGGGATTCTATACCCCAACTAAATCTGCCCAAAAACAATGATGATCATTTGGCACGTGAAGCTGTGCATTTGAGCGTGTTGGTTCGTACCATAAACATGTGGCAAAGTAAACGAAGAGGTGGAAAGATACGAGAAACCGTTCAGGAGAGTAAGCGCACTGATATTGTGTTCATAACCCGTTCTTCCTATATGGTTCGTTGGAAACACATTGTCTAGAAGGTTCTCAAAATCAATCGTGGCTTACACGGTAGTGAGGGATGTGAGCGTGAAGAGAAGTGGAAAGAGGAAGCCCGACAAGATTGCTAAAAACTTTCCTGATGTGGAACGACAAGGAAATTGGGGGAAAAGAGGCGAAGCGATAATGACGAATAAAGGAAACGACAAAGATGGTGTGAACTTTCAAAAGAGCAATAGGATGCAAGGGCAATAGATGCTGTTTGGAATTCTATACCCCAACAAAATCTGCCCAAAAACAATGACGATGGTATGGCACGTGAAGCTGTGCATTTGGGCGTGTTGGTTCGAAATATAAACATGTGGCAAAGTGTACGAAGTGGTGGAATAAAGGAGAAAACGATCAAGACAGTATACGCACTGAAATTGTGTTCATAACCCGTTCTTCCTTTATGGTTCGTTGGAAACACATTTCCTGGAAAAAACTCAAAATCAATGGTGGCTTACACGGTAGTGAGAAATGTGAGCGTGAAGAGAAGTGGAAAAAGTAAGCTTGACAAAGTTGCGAGGAACTTTCCTGATGTAGATTGGCAAGCACAATGGGGGAAAACGACAGAGCAAAAGTGACGATAAAGGGAACGACAAAGATGCTGTGAATTATCAGG